AGAGAGTATGAGAGGGAAGAGGGCAGAGGGAGAAGCAGACCCCCTGCTGAGCAGGGAGCCTGATGTGGGACTCGATCCCGGGACTCCAGGATCATGACCTGAGCCGAAGGCAGTCGCTTAACCAACTGAGCCACCCAGGCGCCCCCTCATTTTATTTTTAAAAACAATTCATTTACTTATTTTGAGAGAGTGAGTGGGCAGGGGGAAGGGCAAAGGGAGAGAGAGAGAGAAAATCCCAAGCAGACTCCCTGCTGAGTGTAGAGCCCATGGGGGGTGGGGCTTGATCCCACAACCCTGAGATCATGACCTGAGCCTAAACCAAGAGTCAGCCACTTAACCAACTGAGCCACCCAGATACCCCTAGTCATTCATTTTAAAAGATTTTTAGAAGATTTGATGGCATGGGGAAATGTTTTGTATTACTAGAAAAAAGTTACAAAACATAAATAATATCCCAATTTAAAAGTCATGGGAATATGATTGCATAGGAAAAGAATAGTTTATGTACCAAAAGGTTAACAGTGGTTATCATGGGTAGCTGGAGTTAAGAGTGACATTTTCATCTTTGTGCATTTCTTCATTTTTCCAATTATAATGGGCATGTATTGCTTTTATTTTTATATTGCATTTATAAGAAATATTTTTGAAAGTTGTTGTTTTAAAACTTCCCATTGTGTACCTCTATATAGGTGATTCCCAACAAACCTGTTTTGTTTTGTTTTTTGTCCACACAGTTAAGGAAAGCTTTTCTTGATGCCTAGTACTAATTTAGAGAGTATGAACGAAGCCACTCACTATGCAAATCAAAGATTCACTCATACCACTTATATAATTAAATCTTCCAAGATTTTCCAGGGAATTTTTTTTCCCGGTAGTTAGCACCCCCCTTTTTTTCCCTTGTAGACAAACCTTTTTTATTATCCCCAGGAATATGGTGACATTTACTTTCTTTTTTTATTGTAATAATTAATTGTAGATAATATAAAATGTACCATTTTAACCATTTTTAAGTGTACAGTTCTATAGCATGAAGTACATTCATTTTGTTCTGCAACCATCATCACTGTCCATCTCCAGAATTTTTATGTTCCAAAACTGAAACTCTGTACCCATTAAATAATTCCCCATTTTTCCCTCCTCCTAGCACCTAACAACTACCTTTCTTTCTGTCTTTATGAATTTGACTACCCTTGACCCTCATATAAGAGGAAACATACAATATTTGTCCTTTTATAACTGGCTTAGTTCACTTAGCATAATGTCTTCAGTTTCATATTTGTTGTATTTGTGTGTTAAAATTTACTTCCTTTTTAAGGCTGGATAATACTCTACTGTAAGTACCACAGTTTTTTAATCCATTCATCTATCGATGAATATTGGGATTGCATCTGCCTTTGGCCATTGTAAATAATGCTGCTATGAATAGGAGTATACAAATGTCTGCTTTCATTTCTTTTGAGTATATACCCAAAAGTAGGATTGCTGGATCATACGGTAATTCTGTTTAATTTTTTGAGGAATTGCCATATCATTTTCCATAGTGGCTGTACCATTTTGCATTCCCACCAGCAATGTACAAGGGTTCCAGTTTCTCCACACCCTTGCCAACGCTTATTTTCTCTTTTTTATAATAGCCATCCTAACAGTGTGAAGTGACATTTCATTTGTGGGTTTGATTTTGTATTTCTCTATGACTAGTTATGTTGGGCATCTTTTCGTGTGTTTATTGGCCATTTGTATATATTATTTGAAGAAGTGTCTATTCAAGTCTTCTGCCCATTTTTTGTTGCTAAAATATAGGAGTTCTTTATATATTATGGATATCAATCCTTTGTCAAATATGATTTGTAAATATCTTCTATTCCATGGGTTTCCATTTCACTCTGTGAATAGTGTCCCTGGCACAAAAGTTTATAATTTTGATAAAGTCCAGCTTATCTATTTTTTCTTTCATTATCTGTGCTTTCAGTATCTAAGAAATCTTTGCCAAATCCAATGTAATGAAAGTTTTCCCCTGTGTTTTCTTCTAAGAGTGTCTAAATTTTTAGCTCTGTATTCTCTGGTACATTTTTAAGGTTTTCCTTAAAACAATTTTGCTATCTAAGGTTTACCCCATCCCCATTGGTTTAAATAGTTAGAAAAGAGATCATTTCAGTCATCCTTTAGTGTTGACATTAAAAAATAAAACTATTGCATCAGTCTTTTTATCCCCTGGAATTGAAAAGCCATAGTTATTTGATACCTGTCTTGGAACATTAAAAACATAATACATAAACATGCTCCTTTAGCAGTCAGAAATTTTATCTTGGTTCTTTTTTTTCCTCTTTTACTTTGTATTTCCAATTCATGTAAACCTCAGCATTTTATCTTGATATATTTTTATACTTAAAAGTAATTTATTAAGTATCCTTTCATACTTGTAAAACAAAATTTGAATTTTTTTACACTTTTCTGTGATCGCAAGGCTCTAAGAAAATGTAACATAATGTTCAATTGATGCAAACAACAAAAGCATACTTATTTTGATTAAAAATGCTGAAACAGTAAGATTTCATTGGGATTTCATGTGATTGAAATCCCCCATCCCCACCCAATTAGTTCATATATCTGTGGAAGAATCTTATTGCTGAAGACAGTGTTTGGCATCAGTTCCATTGTTTTATAAATGTAAGCACCGAGAAACATTGTTCATATAAATAAGTAGACAGTAATGAAAGGAGTTTAGCAGTGCCACTCAGTTTTTCTGGGTTATATGCCAAAAAACACTTGCCAAAATTATTTTTCATGGTCTCTTTGCTTGATTAGGTCTCCTTTCAATTTTGTTGAAAGCAGAGAATTAGAAACCACCTCACAAAGGAAAGGATTTGTTGCCTAGCTTTGTCATTCAGTTTCTTAACACCTAACACTAGTGTTTTTCTTTGTTTGGCTTTAGGAAGGTTTTTAAAGCCTTGAGTCAGTCCACAATAGTAAGATTCAGAATGGGTGAGAGAGGTGACTTTCTTTTGTAAAATAAGAGAAAGGTAAATGAACGAGGATGCCTTCTCAGGCAAATCAGTTTTAAGAAAAAGTACATAGGGAAGTTAAGAATCTGGAAATAGATTCCCATAAAATTTTTCTTGGAAAGCCTTGTTATACTACACCTATCTAAGATGTAGGTGTTCATTTTAAAAATAATACACCTACCTAAAAGTGTAGATAATCCTTTTTCAAATATCCTTACATATAGGTACACTGATAAAAGTGATTAACAAACCATACATATCACTGATATTTTATGAAATACCTCTCTAATTCTTAACACAAATCCTTGTGGATTAAATATCCTTATTTTACTTGTGAACCAGTGAAATATTCTGCTCAAAGCAAAATTAAATGACAAAATGTCCTGATAACACAAAATGAAATGAATGTATAAAGCCAGACTAAGTTAGGGGGAGGGTATACTAATGTGGCAGGTTTTTAAAAATACTCCCTGTTTTTCAAAAATTGTCAATTTTCAGAGTAGTTTGACATGTAATTAGAGAGTTGTTAGGTACTTTTACCTTCTCTTTTTATGTGAAAGTAGCCTTTATATGATTTCAGAGAGATGTGTATGAACTTTTAGATACTTTATGACAGAACCTCTGTAGCTCGTAAAGAAGCCACTAAGAGAAACTCTAGTCTGTTGAGCAATAATAAAGTCACATAGAGCACTGTGGTTTTTACAGATTAACATACATAAACAACCTTTGAATTCAAGTGTTGCATCATCTGGGTGAAACTGTGAAATAGATGGTAATAACTCCTTTGTATCATCCAAGCCCAAATTACAATTCTGATGGTCCAGTTATTTTACAGTTGCTGCTAGTGGTTGCATGGCAGGCAATGGTTTGTGTATTTTTCTAATTTCTGTAGCCTTAAAATAAAGGAGTATTTAGTATTATGAACTGTTACAAGTTTTTGTCATTGGTGGAAAACTTTACTAGACCACTTGCTATGAAATAGAGCTATAAAACATCAATAAATCTTATATTAGCCATTTCATAGACATTGCTGATAATGTGTTTATCATAAAATGATTATTTAGTTTCAATACTGTTGTAGTTTCTTGGGGAGATACAGAATGATGCTGCCCAAAAAGCAGTTGTTACAAACTTGTAATCAAAGAAAACTCTCAGGAGGAGTTTAACTTGGGGATTTTAACTGAAGAAAAACTTAGATCACTTTCTCATTTTTCTTAAAGGATGGGTCTTCAGTTAAAGAAGTTGAAACCTACCACCGGACACGTGCTTTAAGGTCTTTGAGAAAAAATGCACAGAATTCTTCAGATTCTAGTTTTGATAAGAATATGGAAATAACAGAGAAACATGCTAATGGAAGGCATTTTACAAGGTAAAACAAGATGGTTGAATGCTAATTTAAAATAGTTTTAAAGTAATTTAGGATTTGCATTTAATTTTTAAGTGTATTCTTGCCCAATCATCAAGATTCCAGGGTCGCAAAATGTAATTTGAAATGAAATTGCCACAAATAAATATTATTGAATTAAAATTTTAATATGTATCCAGTTTGTTTTTATTTTCTTGTTCAAAGACAATATTTGTGTTATGTGTGAGTGCAGCTGACAAAGCTGCTTGGTAACTACTTGAGTGTGTGACTTTGTGATTTTAACTTGCTTGTGATATGTGGTTCTGCTTCATACTTAATACAAAGCCTTTATTCAAAATAGTAGTTATTTTTCTCGTCATTTTCAAGTATTCTCATTATCAAGTATTTCATCAATTCTGAGTCATTTATGAATTTGTGTGTTGGTGCACTTCTAAAAGCAGTCTTCACATAGGAAGTGGAACATGGTTTTTTTTTTACTTGTCTAAGGGGACTAGATGATTTATACATATTTAAATTTCATTTCTCAAGAACCCTGAGAATTCCACTTTAATACTCCAGGAATTATTTTTAGTGAATTAGGTAGTTAGATAACTCAGGGAACTTGGATTTCTTTGGTTTGGGGCAGATTTAAATCTAATTAGCAAAAAACCTTGACTTTTCCACCCACTTTGGTGGGCCTGACATAAATGCAGGGGGTGCCAATTAGAATAAAATTTCTTTGATGAAATAATTGCTCTATACATTAATTCTTCTCATAAAGAAATTTCTCATAGTAACAAGACTAGAACCCTCCTCTTTTTTTTTTTTAAAGACTTATTTAAGTAATCTCTACACCCAATGTGGGGCTCAAACTCATGACCCCGAGATCAAGAGTCACACGCTCCACTGTCCAAGCCAGCCAAAAACCCCTAGGGCCCTCCTATTCTTAAGTAGACTTTGATTATTTTGTGTAGCAGGTTTTCCAGATAAGTGACATCATCCCTTTTAAGTTTGTTTTTTGTTATTTAAATAGTCTTTCATTATATATTTTAAAATTTGCATCATTTCATCCATTATTTATGGTGTGTTTACTACTGTATTTCATGGGATCCAAGATAGCAGCAATTGAAACACTCATTGTTTTATGAGACGGTAAAAAAAAAAAACACTGAAAGTTAAACTAAGACATTCCATCAGTTTTAAAACATCCCAATATCAGAGATGTTAAGATGGAGGGAAATGTACAACTTACAGAATTGATGAAATATAATTTAAGCTACCCCAATATTTCTGAAACTTGAAGTCTTTTTGGGGTGGGGAAAGTGGCCTATGGATTCTCTGTGAGAATTTTAAACTTTATTTCATGATCTCAAGAAAAAGTAAACATTCTGGATCATCTAAATTGCTACCTTCTAGAGAACAGTCATAAAATTTCAGGCCCTACATTGGTGTTTACAACTAAGTTGGTCCCAGCTAGTACTGCTTGAGTTAGCTCAGGTTCATGAGATAAAAACTGAGTCTGACCTGGATACATAAATGATGCTTTGAAGAGGAAGCCATGGATGTGATGTCATGACATGCTGTTCAAATGAAGGTTTGGAGCACTTGAAATACAGAGAAATGGATGAATTAAGTCATGATACACAACAAACATGATGTACAATATACCAAACTGAAGAGAAACTGATAGCAGTCTGTACCACATTCACACAGCAAATGGCTATTTTATTTCAGCAAAACCTCATATGTTAATATTTTTGTTAGTGGTTTTGTTGGGTTCATTTTATTTGTATAAAATGTAAATGAATCTCTCTCTAGTTTGGCTTGTACATAGTCATAAGAAGTTTAATGTTTGGGGGGGCACCTGGGTGGCTCATTCAGTTAAGCATTAGACTCTTGATCTCCGCTCAGGTCATGATCTGGGGTCCTGGTATCTAAGCACCATGTTGGGCTCTGCACTCAGCAGGTAGTCTCCTTAAGGATTCTCTCCCTCGGCTCTTCCCCCTTTTCACTCTCACATGCACTATCTCTCTCAAATAAATAAATCTTTAAAAAAGAACTGTTAAAAATTTAATGTTGGAAGTCCTTCAAATCTTTACCTTTAAAAGTATATGTACCTTAAGTTTATGAAACATTGTGTTGACCTTTATGCTCAAAAGCTATTAGAGGAGTGTTAAGTGCTTTTTCAATCTAGAATTAAAGATGAGTGACATGATATTTTTAAATTTGATTCCTTTTAAAATATATTGAATTGCAGGGCGCCTGGGTGGCTCAGTCGGTTAAGCGTCTGCCTTCAGCTCAGGTCATGATCCCAGGGTTCTGGGATCGAGTCCCGCATCGGGTTCCCTGCTGGGCGGGAAGCCTGCTTCTCCCTCTGCCTCTCTCTCTCTCTCTCTGAATCATGAATAAATAAATAAAACATTAAAAAAAAATAAAATACATTGCATTGCTGTCTTTTAAAAATTTTTTTTAATTTTTATTTTTATTAGAGGGAGAGGGAGAAAGAGGATCTTAAGCAGACTCCACCCTGAGTGAGGAGCCTGACACCAGGCTTGATCTCACAACCCTGAGATCATGACCTGAGCTGAAATCAATAGTCAGATACTTAACCAACTGATTCACCCAGTTGTTTTTATTTATTTATTTATTTCTTAATATTTATTTATTTAATTAATTGACAGAGAGAGACAGCGAGAGAGGGAACACAAGCAGGGGGAGTGGGAGAGGGAGAAGCAGGCCTCCCGCAGAACATGGAGCCCGATGCGGGGCTCGATCCCAGGACCCTGGGATCATGACCTGAGCTGAAGGCAGACGCTTAACCGACTGAGCCACCCAGGCGCCCCCACCCAGTTGTTTTTAAATAACTTTATGGAGATATAATTCACATACTATAAGATTCACAATTTTAGAATAGTTCACAGTGGTGAACAATGGTTTTAGAATATTCACAGTATTGTGCTCCCATCACTACTATCCAATTTCAGAACATTTTCATCACCCCAGAAAGAAACCCTGTTATATTATCTCCCACCTCCTCCTCCCTCCCCACTGGCCCCTTGGAAACCACTAATCTACTTTCTGTCTCTATGGATTTGGCTATTCTGGACATTTTATATAAATGGAATCACATTTATGGCCTTTTGTATCTGGCTTCTTTCACTCAGTGTGATGTTTTGAAGGTTCATTTTATTGTAGTACCTATCAGCACTTCGTTCTTTTTTTGCTGAATAAGAATCCATTGCATAAATATATCATGTTTTGTTTATCCCCTCATTAGTTGATGGACATTTGGATTGTTTCTACTTTGTGGCTATTTTGAATGATATTGTGAACATTGGTGTTCAAATTTTGTGTGGACATAGGGTTTTGATTGTTTGGGGGTATATACCTAGGAATGAATTGCTGGGTCAGATGGTAACTTTTAACATTGAGGAACTGCTGAATAGTTGGCTAAGGCAGCTGTACCATTTTACATTCCCATTAGCAGCTCATGAGGGTTCCTATTTCTCCACATCCTCATCAACACTTGTCATAGTCTTTTTGGTTTTAGCCATTTAATGGGTGTAAGAGTATCCCTTGTGGTTCTGATTTACATTTCCTTGATGGTTAATAGCATAGAATATCTTTTCGTGTGCTTATTGGCCATTTATATGTCTTCTGTGGAGAAGAACTTCTATCTTAAAAAATAATCTGTGTATTCAGATCATTATTACAAAGACTTATTTTACATAGTGATGACATTAGGATCTGTTTGTATAAGACTTAGATAAACTAGCCCTCAGTATTGTTGAATTTTGCTTGACGTAGTTTCCTGCTACTTATCAGGGTGACCCTTTTTGCCGTTGCTAGTTTGCCTGACTATAGTAATCTCTACTTACTTCCTTTCTGTGTCCCTCCATCCGTTTTGTTTTCTATCTGAGGCTCAAAGACCAGGAGACCAAAACTGTTAGAATAATACGGAAAGATCTGAGTAACTGTACCTGAGGGCAGGATCTATATTTCTTTGGTTCTGGAGTTCCTAACTAGGGTCCAGTAATCATAGTTTTCAGGGAGCTCATGAAACCTCTGAAATAACATATAAACTTGTATGTGTGTATGCAGTTTTCTTTTTTTTTTTTTT